GACCAAGGGCAGCGGTGAATAAGGAAGAAGTACCGTAGGCTTGTGTGTGCATGGGAGGAGGGCAGATGTGATGCATGCTGCTGCTCACTGGAGCTCCAACCCAGCTGTTGAGAAACGTTGAAAGTCGTCAGCCACCCCTGCTTGCAATGTCCCTGACAAGATTGGTAAATTCCTGCTTCAACTTTTGCCCCTCAACGCTTCTCACACAATCTCCTGAGCAGCACCTGCTATGGATGAAGCTGGTGTGGGCTAACTCCCTGAATCTGGAAAAACAAAATTTCAAGAGGCACACAAGAACTGAACTCTCATTCCCTTGAAACTTTCTCAGTGTGCGTTGCAATGATCCAAAGAGCTCGTCCAACTCATTGTGTGTCACCACCACTTGTCACAACAAAGAGACATGATTCAGCAAGGCTGTCCCATTGTACTTGCATACAGTGTCTGCACAGATGGAGTGTAGGACATATGAGAAGGGCAGGATTGGGTAAAGGACAGGGGATGTGATTAGCAATGGGTTGCAGCTTGAGAATGAGCTATGGGATGAGGTCTGCTTATACAGGTGCTTAGAGCACACAGATGTGGCTGCTGAGATGGGTCGACATATCAGATGTTTTCACCATGAGCTGTTTGGAGTGCTGATCATCCCAACTCCAGCAATACAAATGCTGCCCGTGATCCAAGCATCACCTCTCTAGCAGCCTCTCTTCCCTGCGCGCCATGCGATAATGCCGACGGGACTGCTATTAAGCAGCTGCGGGGAGATAGAGGGGGTGGGGTGGGTGGAGGAGTGGGGGAAGGACGTGGGGGTCCAGCACCTCTCTGCTGCCACTACCAACCACCAAGGAAGAGAGGGGAGAGGGAGTAGAGGAGAAATGAGGGTGGGGTGAGGGTTGGAGTGGTGGGGGGTGGAAACTCTCCATTGGGGAATGTTGGGTATGAAGAAGAGAAAGTAGGGAATTCGGGAGGGAGGGAAGGGAAGCACGGGGAGACAAGGGGAGAAAAGGATGCCAGGTTGGAGGGAAACAAAAGGGAGTAAGAGGGACGGGGGGAGGGCAGAATGGTGGGGGGTGGTGAGGAGTGGGTAGCCTGCCTCACCTGTCATGATGCTGTATGCCATGCCATCCATGAGGGGGTTTGTAAATTGATCACATTCTTGGTGGACGGTGCACGGACCTGTACAGATTGGGAGAATCGTCACAGTTGTGATGTGCTGTCAGAGGTAAAGCAAAGTGCTTGAAGAAAGACGAGGAGGGATGGATGGGGAGGAGAACGGGTAAGGTGGCCAAGGGTGGGCAGGCGGTAAAGTGGATAGATATGGCAATTCTGCAGCAAAAAAATCCCATAGATGTGATGGTGGAGCAAGACATGTGACACTACAGTGCAAGTCAGACGCCTCAAAACATGCTCCCTACGTTGTAGAGTGCGCACGCCAGTGGTGTACCATTGAACAAGCAGAGGCGAGTGTTAGAGAGCTGATGGCCTTGCACACCAAAAACCAGTGCTCATATTAATTTAGCCTCGTCCATGGACCAGTGGCAGAAGCGCCAAAATGAGAGCGGATAGGCAAAAATGCACAGTGTGGAAAGCTTTCCAGTTATCCGGTGTATGACGTTATCGAGAAATGAAGCACCGTCCATTAATATTCCAGTGCACGTCTCATAGCCGTCTACTGGATTCCTGCACACACAACATTTTAAAGCCATTTCGCAAATCACAAATATGGGACTTTCCTTCAAGATGACCTCTGCTTGTCGACGAGCTGAGGCTTGTCAAGGATGCTGCCGGCCGGCTTGTTGGATCAGGTTCGACGAGCTGAAGAGCCTGGTTGCAACTATCCGAGCCAGATTGGCTTGAGTGGGTCATGCTGGGAGCAAAAAAAGGGTATATCTCACGATGCACACACCCACTCTATTATGAGCACAACAGCAAGCACCTTGCATTCACACTCACGCTGTCTTCGCTCACTTTCCAGCGAAGCACAATGCAAGCACTAGTGAACATTTTGAGACTCACAAATAAAATCACTAAAAGGCATGCTCATACGTGCCTTTGCACGCTCGCAATGCATCCGCCCTGCTGGAAGCCAGGCGTCACACACGCCAACCGCTGCCACCGCCTCCTTTCCTCCTCCACCTTGCTCTGACTTATTACCTTGCCACTCTTCCCCCTCCCTTCCCCCAAATCCCATTGCTCCCACTTCTCCTCTTATCCCCCTTGCCACTTCCTTCCCCCGTATTATCACACGTAAGGCCCTCGTATCCATCTTCTCCCCACTTATTCCCTCCTCCTTTGGAGCGAGTTCTAGCCAATCACAGTGTGTCGCACCACCAGCACAGGATAGCACAAAACAGCACGTCCCCCTACTCCCCTGCTCTCACGGCCAGCACAAGACAGGATAGTTACTGCTAGTGTGGTCAACATGCAATGAGAAGCGCGCAGATAACACCCAGTTACACAATGTCACATCACACAGCTGCCTCTCTCTCCATCCACCCCCATTTTTCCCTCTTCGCCTGTGTGCAGCTACTTCTCGCATCAATGCACTCTCATGGCTCTACCATGCTTTCAGGCTTGTGTCTTGCAGCGATGGGTTGGTTGGGCCCTCCGTGAGTGGTACACGCCAGGCGCTGTTGGTGTGGGAAGGGAGGGGAGTGAAGGGAGAGAATGAAGAAGGTCGCAGAATAATGCTGGAAGCGGGAAGTTGGCTGATGTCCTTGCACACAGGAAAAGCATAGCTCATGTTGTTTCTGCCTCGTCAGCGATGCGGGCTTCAGCCGGCTGGCTGGCGGAGATGCAGCATCATCGTGCTCCACATCGCTAACAGCCGGGTGCATATCTGTGCAGGCGCCGCCAGCCGGTCACAGAAACGTGCTGCCACCGCCAGCTAAGGGGAGGGAGGGAGAGGTGGTGTCGGCACCACCCCTCCCTCCCTCCCTCCCTTCACAGAAGATGTCCTCAGAGTGTGGATGACACCAAATAGAATGGCAGGGAGGTTGAACGGGGGAGGGGGGGGGGGGGGGAAAGGACAGGAGTGAGTAACAAGCATGGGGAAAAGGGACTATGGAGGGGAGGAGCGGAGGGAGGAAAGGAAAATGGGAGGAGAGGAGGAGGGGGGGGGGGGGGGAGGGCGGGGGGAAAGGACAGGAGTGAGTAACAAGCATGGGGAAAAGGGACTATGGAGGGGAGGAGCGGAGGGAGGAAAGGAAAATGGGAGGAGAGGAGGAGGGGGGGGGGCGGGGGGAAAGGACAGGAGTGAGTAACAAGCATGGGGAAAAGGGACTATGGAGGGGAGGAGCGGAGGGAGGAAAGGAAAATGGGAGGAGAGGAGGGGGGAGGGGGGGGGGGGGGAAGAGGGTTCGGGTGGAGGGGGTTGTGTGGAATGTGTAACAGCTAGTGGGGGAGAGGAGGGAGGCGCGATAGGAGGAATATGGGAAGGGATTTGGGAGGAATAGGGGGGGTGTTGGGAGAGGAGAGGAGGGCAGGCATGAGCAACAGGACAGGTCGGGTCGACTCGATCCGACCTGACCCAATTTTTTTCCCCGGGTAGGGGACATGTCATTTTCGTCGCCTGCAAGATCAACTTGCTCAACAGCGACGCCGCAACAGGTGAAGTCCGGGGAATGCAACGCCTTCGTAAGATAATCTGCGGGTTGCTCGCTCGTTGGAATGTACATCAGTGCGAATTTCTTGCGCTTCTCCATCTACTGCAGCAAGATGTTTCGCCACTCCACATGCTTGAGACTCCCCTTGAGCCCCAACCCTTCCGCAACTGCAATGGCCGAAGAATTGTCGATGTTGGGGGAGGAGGGCAAGGAGTGTGAAGAGGGGAGGAGCGGGGATGGACATGTTTGACGATGAGGATGACGAGGCAGGGGATGGTGCAGGGGGGGATGGTAAAGGGGGACGGGGGGAGAAGGAAGGTGAGAGGAAGGAGGCAAAGGGAGGGGCAGAAGGGAAAGGACAGGAGAATGGGGGAGTGGGGAGGAAGGAGGGAGGGGAGGAGAAGGCAGGGGCTGAGGGGAGTGGAGCGCCGAGCAACGGTGGCTACGAGTTTGACCCGGCCAGTGGGTGAGTGCATGGCTGTTCTGCCTGAACCTTTGCGTCCGGAGGGTGAGAGCACAGGGTGAGAGCAGAGGGTGAGAGAAGAGGGTGTTTCACGTGGTCCGGCCTTGCTCTCCTTGCGCCCATGCAAGCATGCCCTCCTATGTTCTTCACCACTGTCCGTTGCCTTGCGCTCCATTGCCCTGCGCTCCGTTGCCCTGCGCTCCGTTGCCCTGCGCTCCATTTCCCTGCGCTCCATTGCCCTGCGCTCCATTGCCCTGCGCTCCACTGCACACTCCCTGCCTCTCACCGCGCCTGCCTGCTCTCTCCCTCTGCACTCTCACACCCGTGTGTCGGTTACTGTCCACCATGCTTCCACCATGCCTCCACCATGCCTCCACCATGCCTCCACCATGCCTCCACCATGCCTCCACCATGCCTCCACCATGCCTCCACCATGCCTCCACCATGCCTCCACCATGCCTCCACCATGCCTCCACCATGCCTCCACCATGCCTCCACCATGCCTCCACCATGCCTCCACCATGCCTCCACCATCCCCTACTTGCCATGCCAATCTTCCTAGATTCCCTCATCCCACCTCTCTCCCTCTATCACTGCTTCCTCTTCCTCATCCCATGCCCATGCGCTCATTCCTCTTGCCAGCGAATGCGTCAACACACGCACACACGCCGCATCTACCGTCTCCCCCCAACCCCATATCCTACTCTTTCGCCAACACCCCAGAACCCGCCTCCTTGCTGCAACCCCCCTCCCTTCCTCTGCCCTCCCCCTCGTTGTGACTATCGCCAACCTACAATACACGCACCTTCTCTTTGAGATGCGTACTTCATGTGTCCATGCTGCCAAACCTTTTCCCCCTCCCCCTCCCTCTCCCTCTCCTTCAACTTCAAACCCCTGCCTCAACTCCACTTCTTCCCCCCCCCCCCCCCCCACAGCAACTACTTCAACAAGGAGCAGGGGTACTACTTATACTCCTTTTCTTGAGGCACCACACTTCACATGTTCCTGTAATCTCTTCCCACTCCACCCTCTCCCCCCAGCTACTACTTCAACAAGGAGCAGGGGTACTACTACGGCTCCTCCACTGGCCTCTTCTGCAGTGCTGCCAACGGCACATGGTAGGGTGGAGTGCGGTGAAAAATCCTAGCACACGGTAGGGTAGGGTGGAGAGGAGCGCACTGCGCTGACAGCTCGCTGTTGGCATACAGTTTCAGTCCTGAAGAAAGCTATGGCACAGAGTCGTATCCACACTCACTGCCCGCCATGTGCATGCCATGCCATGCTGCTCCCACGTTAGCCCAAGCTGCCTGTATGAAGTGCAGCAATGAGCCGTGCATGACATGCCTCTCACCCCATGGATCTCCCCCCATGGATCTGCCCCCATGGATCTCCCCCCATGGATCTCCCGCCATGTATCTCCCCCCATGCCTCTCCCCCCATGGATCTCCCCCCATGCCTCCCCCCCCATGGATCTCCCCCTATGGATCTCCCCCCATGCATCTCTCCCCATGGATCTCCCCCCATGGATCTCCCCCCATGCCTCTCCCCCCATGGATCTCCCCCCATGGATCTCCCCCCATCCCTCTCCCCCCATGGATCTCCCCCCATGGATCTCCCCCCATGCCTCTCCCCCCATGGATCTCCCCCCATGGATCTCCCCCCATGCATCTCCCCGCAGGTACCGCTTCAAGGAGGCAGCAGGCGAGTACGAGGTGCTGCCAAGTGATGCTGAGCAGTGGGGTGCTTCAGGCAATGGTGGTGGCGTGGGTGGCAAGGAAGGGGGAAAAGCGAAAGCAGCTGTGGGCAAGGGTGCTGATGGCAGTGCAGCGAGTGGTGCAGGTGACGATGTGGCAGGCGGGGATGCAGGCGCTGCCAAGGCAGAGGGAAGGGATTTGGCAGGTGAGGGGCGGACAGATGAAGGTGGAGCACATACAGAGGATGGGACAATGACAACTGCCGCTGCTGCTACTGGGGACGGATAGGACGGAAGGCAGCTCGTGCTGAGCTGAGCGTAGGTACCTGCTTTGGGGCTCTATATCGTGCTGGAGTGCAATGCATGTCCACATGATGCTTGAGAGGTTGATGCAAATCGTAATAATTGTATCTTCACAATGTGGCCTCTGCCTTGCGAAGAAATTGCTCTGTGGAAGCTGTAAACAGTACAAGCAACACTAGCAAGTGCCGTATACACCACATGGTATGGTTAGGAACCAGATTAGGGGGTTACGTTGTTAGACCAGTCCACATTGGTAGCATGGTGCGTATGACTGTCATTAGCCTGTACTTCCTACAGTCGCAAAGCCCGTTGCCTCGCACCCTCTCCAAAACGCTAGCCCTCCCAAAAGTCCTCCCGCCACCTCATCGCACAATGTCTCACCCACCGCACGGCGTCAAATGTATCACCGTGTGCGACCCCTAAAACTTGGTTACCGTGTACAACATTACGTGACATGAAGCAGAACCGCAATACCGTAGTGAGGTGAACAATGTCAAAGTCCTGGTCACTAGACCACTCGGATAAAAAATATTGTTCCAGTAGCGGGTTAGTGCCAGGGCCTCAGACTCACTTTTAGGGTCGTCTACCCATCAGGGTCTGCTTGTGTGTTAACACTGATCGACAGTGTTCCTTTTAAAAAAAAGCCTGAAATGTCAGTGTTGTGTTTGTAAAGAGCCTGATCCATCAGGGTTCCACTTGTAAAAAGTCTTATACTATTATAAAGTCTTGATTTTAAATTAAGGAGTATAGTAGCCTTCTAAAACAGAGCCGCTCTTATCTAACAGGAGTCATGCATGCATCATCATCGGAATCAGAGTCCTCATCACTCCCTTGCGCCTTTGGTTCTTCCCACTCCTCAAGTGCCTCCTTTCCCCTACCACTGCCCTCCCCCTCTCTTGCTGGAGGTGCTGCCACATTGCCAAATGGCCGGCGCTTCTTGTAGCTGCGCCAGATTTTCACCAGTTCGTTGTAGTCGGGCTCGTAGTTGAGGAGCGACATCGTGATGAGATCTTCAAGCCGGGCGTCTTTGAGGCTCCCAAGCTGCCACGATTTGATGATATTCTGGCGGGAAAACCTGCGCTCACATTCCACTATGCTCAGCGGCAGCACGGCGACAGCAACCCAGATACGCACGAGGTTGGGGTAGCTAGTCGTCCAGTCGCCTGTCTTCAGCATCGCTGTTAGCCCGGCGTGGAAGCTTCGCTCGATTTTCGGGGCACCAGCGAGGATGGGGCAGAAGGCACGCAGTTCTTTGATCGCCCGCCGTTTGTCGATCCCTGCCACACAAAACAGAAGGGAGATTGTCAGTTAGATTCGATGGCTTGGCATGGCATACTCGTATATGCAAATTACTGTTGAAACAGAGGAACAAAGAGATTCATGGACAACAAGGGTGCACGAAATGCGATTACCAGGAAGGATGTGGCCCGTCTTCTGTGCCCTGAACAGCGAGACGAGTGACATGAGCCACTCGAGACACTGTTTGTGGCGCTCCGCTCTCCCCTACAGGTACTCGTCTGGCATGAAGAGCCTCACTCCCACAAGGGAGTCCAAGTCTTCAAACCTCTTGCTGAGGTTACGGACGAGCGTCTCGGCAAATGAGGTGTAGAGATCGACGCAGGCGTCGTGTGTTCCCAGAGTTGGGTATTCTTCGCTTGGGTTCTCATGCAGTTGGAACTTGTGTGTAGTCGGCCGACCGTCAAACTCCACACCCTGCACCGTCACCTCGGGTTTGTCACTGTCAGGCCCGTACTTCATGATGAACGGGGATAGGCGCGCGCTCAACCCGCCTCCAAAATCGTCGCCGCAGACGACATAACGGGTCTCTAGGTGAGACATGGTTCTCCTGATTTGCGCATGGACACCTTCAAAGTCAAGCTATGAGGGGCCGACAGAAATAACACACAGGGACAGCAAGCCGGGGGGGTGATTTATCACACAATCAGTGTTGTGCTTCATGTCCCTCAATATGAATGCATTGACATACACACAGAGAAGCCACGCATACAATAACTAGACATCATGAGAGGTGCAGCAGACGCCGAAAGGACTTGTCGTTCACCTCTCGTTGCTGGAAGGACTTGTTCAACATGTTCAGCTGCTTGAGCACGTCTGCAAGGAAGAACAACAGGAAATGAAACCTGTAGCTGGTGGCGAGCTCGTATAGAGTTTCGTCCCACTCATACAGCATGACGATGAGCGCAGGAAAGACCGTCACCGTTCGCAGAAAGGCATCACCCCTGGAGAGCCAGCGAACTTGATGAATCCCTTGAAGCTCCAGGTTCGTAGCAGTGAAGACTTCCTGAAGCTCCAGAAATCGTTGGTGCCAGGGGCTGGAATGGCTGAGATACTCTGCGACTTGACGGATCAGCCCGTCGACCATGTCGAACTCGGGGAGTGCCTCCGCTGCATCTTTTGCTGCGAGGGCCTCCCTGCAGGCACATCACTGTCATAATATATTTTTGTTTAACTGCATGTAGTTCTAGCTGTAGTGTAGTTATATTGCTGTCCTGCTTGTGGTGCACCCCCTCCTTACTTGTCTCTTGTATAACTTGGGCCTTTGCCCCTTTAGTGACACACCTTTCTGTCATAATGTTATATTTGTCTAGCCTGCAGTGGGGTACTCAATAGTGAGTACAGCCCAATTTAGGGTTTGCTACATGTACTCAACTGCCTGCTAGTGAAATCCCTCTTCTCTGTTTCATTTCCTTCCTTTAGATTTGACATGCTATCAGAGCAGGTCGACCCTCCCGGGTCGATCCAGTGGATGGGCCCACCGTTAGCTTCCGCTGCTGTCCTGCCTATCCCGCGCCTCGGGCGCGCGCCGTTTTCCTGCCTGCTGCGCGCTCATGGCGCGTGGCATTTTTTCTTCCCGTCGCGCGCCCCGAGCGCGCGGCGGTTTTCTGCCCGTCGTCGCCCTGCCCTGCCCGTCGTGCGCCCCGTGGCGCGCGACGTTGCCCTGCCCGTCGCGCGCCCCGAGGCGTGCGGCGGTTTCGTCGCCTGTCGTGGCGCCCCCCCCCCCCCACTCGTCGCCCGTCGCGGTGCCCTGGGGGGGCCTCGCGTCGCCCCCCTCCTGTCGCCCGTCGTGGCGCCCTCGGGGGCTGCGCGTCGCCCCCCCCTCCCGTCGCCCGTCGTGGCGCCCTCAGGGTCCCGCGCGCAGCCCCCCCCCTCCCGTCGCCAGTTGTGGCGCCCTCGGGGGCCCGCGCCCCCCCCCCCCCCCCCCCCCCCCCCCTTTCTGCAGCCCGCGAGCCGCCCCTCGCCGCCTCCTGTCCTCGTGCACATGTGGGGTGGCGGGTGTGTAAACCATCCCCTCCTCCTCCTCCTCCTCCTCCGTCTCCCACTGCTACAGCTGCCGCTGAGGGGGGTGGGTGTGTGGGAGACGAAGGAGTGGTGCTAGGGGGGGTGTCGTGGGAGTGAAGCTAGGGGTGCAGCAGGGGGTGTGAACGGGAGTTTTGGGACAGTTAGGGGGAGGTTGGGCGGAGGCAGCCGTCGTGTCGCCAGCAGCGCTAGTAGTCCGGAGGCTACAATCTCTGGTAGCCCAGCGAGCCTGCTGCGCCAATCGCCCGTGGGTCCGTTGCTCCTGCCGCTCAGAGTTAGCCGCGGAGCCAGTTACTCCAGTATTCCGGAGGCTACAATCTCCGGTAGCCACAGTGCGCGCCGCTCCTGTTGCCCGTGTATCTGCGGCTTCACCCGTCGTCTCCTATCTCCACTCCTCTCACAATCCCTCCTCCTCCTCACTTACCGTCTGTGATTGCCTCTAGCTTTGCTTATATTTGTGAACTATTGCTCTGCTTGCTTATTGTGCTGATTACACCCCACTTTGGCTATGGGGGTGTGTCAGAATGTTATATTTGTCTAGCCTGCAGTGGGGTACTCAATAGTGAGTACAGCCCAATTTAGGGTTTGCTATATGTAATCAACTGCCTGCTAGTGAAATCCCTCTTCTCTGTTTCTTTTCCTTCCTTTATATTTTGACACTTTCTTTCTCGACTCCCCTTGGCACAACCTCCTTGATACCACCATGGCCTAGGCTACTAAGCCTAGGCCCTAACTTAAACCAAACTCCTACTTATGTTAGTATTTTGACACAAACATACAACACGGGGTATCAGCAAGGGATGATACGGATAAGCAGGATTGGCGCTAGATCAACCGTGAACGTACCTGTGGGCTATGCAGTGGCTTGAGACGAGATGCGGTATGCGGAGGCGTAGTCGAACGACAAGACCGTTCTTGCTTCCCATCATCATACTCGCACCATCAGTGCTCATACCAGCGATCTTGGCAAGCTCGATGCCGAGGGCCTGCAGGTGGGACACAAACACTGAGAGGAGAGAGGTTGCGACGCACTTCTCCACAGTCAGAAGGGCAAGAACTCGGTGACGACGCGATTCTCACGGATGAAGGTCACGAAAATTATAATGTGCTTTCCCCGACACCTGTCCTTGCTCTCGTCATATGTAACTCCGATGTACGAACTTGTAAGAATGTGCTGGAGTTGTGTGCAACCACGTGGCAATCGATTGTGTCAGTTGCCCAAAGCCGTACCTGTGGAGCATGTGAGTCAATGTTAGAGCTTACACAAATGGTAAACAAAAACAACAGCAAGTACATGATTTGACAGCGGGTACTCACGTTGTGTAGTAGGTTTCGTATCCTTTTGCGGGGAATCCCGGAACCTTCTTCGCCGCGAGGTAGCGAACAAGTTGCACCCATAACTCAATGGGAGCATCTTGCTTGGTTACGAAGACCAAGGAGTCGCACAGCTCGATGACACGCTCCTTCTCGGTGTCGCGAGCAAGGTTGTCACCGTTGATCCGTGGCCGGCCAGCTTCAGCAAGAAGCTTTTCCTGGTGCTTAACCACCTCCTTGTGCTTGGTTTTTACTGCATGCCTCTTGAAAGCCTGCGTCTGTACGTCCGAGGCGCCCCTCCCGCCTTTTCTGCACTTTCCAGCGTAACCTGCATGCTCGGTACGGATAGAGCAC